AGGGAACACAAGCAGGGGGAGGGGGAGAGGGAGACGCAGGCTTCCTGCGGAGCAGGGAGCCCGATGTGGGGCTCAATCCCAGCACCCTGGGATCATGACATGAGCCGAAGGCAGACACTTAACGACTGAGCCACCCAGGCGTCCCCCAAGCTCATTTTCTGATAACTTTCTTCTTACATACTTTTTCTCTCAGTACCTACCCTGTAACTGGTTGTGATAATTCATCAATAACTTAAAAATTGCTTCATTCTGTAAAAGTCATGACCATTTGCCCCCTTCTTGAAACAGAGAGAAATCATAGGGAGGAATCATCAAGAAAATGTCTTTTAGTTTCTTTCCCTTGAATACTGCTGTTCTTTTTCCTTTGTTGAATCTGATAATCCTGATTTTAAATATAGAAGATCCAACTTCATAAAAATATCTTAGCCTCGAAGAATAAGGAACATTGGTGACATGAAAATTGATTACTTATGACAAAAATGCTGCTTAAAGCTATACTATCAAAATAAGATGTTTAAGTCAACTATTTGTAGTAGCTATAAAGCTTTCAAAATAAAGATTTATTAAAAAAAAATCTTAGCCTCAATTTTCAGCAACCTTCCCCATACACAATATCATAATTTCAATGGTCCTGTTGTCTTTTAAGTTCCTTGCTTATAGACTAATCCTACACAGTTATTCTTATCTTTTCTACTAAAAATACCTAATAAATTGGGGTTAATTGTTAATTCAATCTAGAACAATGATTTTTCCCAAAGAATTTCATTCCTTCTATGTCTAAAGAATAAGAGGAGGGGAACCAAACTAGAAGTGGAAACCAGAATGAATAAATCTTGTCTGTAGAGGTGAGTTGGAATTTGGTTAGACTTGTGTGTGTGTGTGTGTGTGTGTGTTTATTTATTTTTATTTTTTAATTGTTCAGGAAAAAGCCAAAACCCTGTTGGATAACATGAGGAAACTGGAGAAAGAACTATTCAAAGAGATGGAATCAATTCTTCAAAACAAGCATCTTGATGTGGATAAAGTTGTTAATCTCTTTCCTCAGTGTGCAAAAGATGAAATTAGAATTTATAAGTCAAACATTAGTCCTTAGTGGTCATATAAATGGTCAGCAATCTTCTTCAAAGTCAGAATCTATCATCTTGGTAAATGATATAACCTCATTTAGCAGACCTGATTATTCTTTAATAGCATTTACATTAAGGGCCTATTAGAACTACATACAGCCTTGCTGAAATATTGAGAAAGAAAATAACATTGGAATTAGGCACGTATATCATGGGATAGCCAGGAGGTATTTCAGGTATTTACTTGTGTTGTTTTTTTTTTTAGCCATAATACCTTTTTAAAAATTATAATAATTTAATATTCAATTCATTATGAAGCATAAAATATTAAAATAATGCATGGATTTATGTTTATTATAGTTATGTATTGTCCTCAAATAATTTTCTCATTTACAGCAAGAAAGTAGATTTTTCTTTAGTAATGGAAAATATTGTTTCTCAACTAATGAGTTTTTTCTCATTAGGTACATGTTAATCATCTCTAACAAAATATTCTAGATTTACACATTATCTTATTATAGTGTATTAATTCTTCAAATACACTTTTATTAAATTCAAACATGCTTTTTGTCAAGACATGGCTGACCAGTGAGCTTTCAGCTCTAATTATCAAGCGGTTTTTCAGGTATGCACCTTTATAGGCTTTTAATATTTTTAGAAGAGCTTGTCTGGGGATTAGGAATGGGATAAGGGAACCAAGACCTTAGGAGATACTGTTTCTGTGTCTCAAATCTTTCTCAAATTTTATTTCTGTTCACTCAATAAAAATAGTAACAGGAGTGAGATAGGGGCAATGATAGGATTGCTAGTGTATTATGAACATTAGAGTGTATAACGTATTATGAACATTATAAATGAGTAATATCTACCCAAAGTTTATAAAACTTTGTTAAAGTTACATAGAGATTACCAAGACTCAAAGTTGCAAATGGAAACAAAAGAAAAATCCAACTCAAAATAACACTATTTATTGGTTTCTAGAAATACCTATTTTAGATTTTTGATTATATTATCATATTTATTGGTTGCTATCACTATAATTAGGATTATTACTAAAGTAGTGGATCATTATATTTAAAGAGTGCCCAAGAAAAAAATTTTTAAGGGTGCCTCGGTGGCTCAGTTGTTAAGCATCTGCCTTCCACTCAGGTCATGATCCCAGAGCCCAGCATTGGGCTCCCTGCTGACGGGAAGCCTGCTTCTCCCTCTCCCACTCCCCCTGCTTGTGTTCCCTTTCTGGCTGCGTCTCTCTCTGTCAAATAAATAAAATCTTTTATTTTATTTTTTTTTATTTTATTATGTTATGTTAATCACCATACATTACATCATTAGTTTTTGATGTAGTGTTCTATGATTCATTGTTTGTATAGAACACCCAGTGCTCCATTCAGTACATGCCCTCCTTAATACCCATCACCAGGCTAACCCATCCCCCCACCCCGCTCCCCTCTAGAACCCTCAGTTTGTTTCTCAGAGTCCATCGTCTCTCATGGTTCATCTTCCCCTCTGATTTCCCCCCTTCATTTCTCTCTTCTTATCTTCTTCTTTTTTTTTAAACATATAATGTATTATTTGTTTCAGAGGTACAGGTCTGTGATTCAACAGTCTTACACAATTCACAGAACTCACCATAGCACACACCCTTCCCAATATCTATCACCCAGCCACCCCGTCCCTCCCACCCCCCACCACTCCAGCAACCTTCAGTTTGTTTCCTGAGATTAAGAATACCTCATATCAGTGAGATCATATGATACATGTCTTTCTCTGATTGACTTATTTCACTCAGCATAATATCCTCCAGTTCCATCCATGTCGTTGCAAATGGCAAGATTTCATTCCTTTTGATGGCTGCATAATATTCCATTGTGTGTGTGTGTGTGTGTGTGTGT